CAGCCAATGAGAGCAGAGCAACTCGCAGTACGTGACCTCTGCTGGCTGCTAAACACCAACATGGAGACGACTATGTCTGTCTGTGTGTCTCACCTCTTTGGGCAGACTCAATTTGAGGTGCAGAGGCTTTTCAGACATCAGGAACTCGAAGGTAGTTTCTGCTACTGGAACCAGTTTACTGTTCTCTGGACTGAACTGGATCTTACGAATGGTGAGACGAACTGAACTCCTGCACAAACACAACAAATGTATCATTTATATATCAAACATAATATATATCATAGATCATATATATAAATTATCATATGAAAGGATAATGAAACGGTACAATAATACTACTAATACAACTACTACTAATATTAATATAAAGTCTGTTGGTGAACTCACTGTTTGTTTATCTTCTCGTCCTGATTTTCACAACAGAAAGCTTTAACCTCAAACTCCACTGCACATTTCTGTCAGACAGACAAACAGACAGACAGTCACATATAAACACACTCAGTGCATGGTGGGAAATGTGGGCCATCCTGAGAATATTTTAATCTACATTACAAACTGGATCAGAGCGGGTCGACCTACACCCCAGGTTGGGTGGGTTCAAGTCGACTTACTAGAAAATATCAGGGGTCAATAAATCAATGAATCAATAAATCTAACCTTTTTACACAGAATAGAACTTTATGCTGATGTCATTCTTTTTTTTTTAAAGTTCTCATTTAGTGGAATTTGCAGTTTCCTTTTCTTGTCACAAGATTCATGTGAACAGAGTGAAATATGACACTGACACTATTCAACATTTCAGTCCTCAGTCAGTATGATATAAACAGACTGATGATGTATATAATATATTTACATTATAAGTAAACAGACTGATGATGACATGATGATGGACTCACCTTTCCTACATCAGAGGGCCCAGGCTGCAGAGCAATAGAACACGGCAGGTTGTCTGGAAACTGGAACACAAACACAAACTTATTGTAATGAAAATGAATGAATCATCATCACCATTAGAGGTTCTGTCCAGGACCCTGATCTGGGGCCTCTACAGGGCCCTGTTATGGGTCCTGTGCAAGGGCCTGTACAACCGATGGATTGATGGTTAATGTGGACTAACCTCGAAGAAGAAGGGGAAAGCGTTGTCTCCCAGCTTGCGGAGCAGTTTCTGCTGGACCTTGGTGTGAGTCAGCTTCTCTTTGTCCTGCAGCTCGGGGTAAACCTGCCGGGTCACCACGAACAGGTCCCTCCTGAAGGCCACACCCATCACATCCATGTCCTGACGGCCATACCGGAAGGTACAGGACAGCATCACATAGACTGAGGACACATAAAAATGTCACTAACAGTCTTAGAAGAATTACTGGAACCAGTTTAACGGCGTTTTAATGAATATGTTAGTAAGAATATGTTCAGCTCCACACAGTGGTGGAACAAATACTTAAGTTCACAATGTACAAATACTGCAGTACAAGTATTTAGAGTTTACTGAAACCTTAAGAACTTGCAGTACCACTAAAGACCAGCTGGATCCACAAAATCTTAGACTGTATTTGAGACTCTTGCATGAAGGTCAGACTATCCACATACAGTATGGCATGACAGCTCTCCAACAGAGAGAGACTCTCTCTATCTCCCCCTGGTGGCTGACTGCAGTATCATTCATATGCCTCCATGTTAGCAGATGGGACAAACCAAAACATCAAAAAGTCAAATAAATGTTTCCCAAAGATGGTTTCTGTGATATTAGGCTGTTCTTATTATGCTGACGTTTGTTCAAATGTTGATTTTTATTATCAGTTTGGTTTTAATTATAATTATAATAATAACAGTCAATATACTGACCTTTCTTTCCTTTGAGCTGCCCCTGGTCGATCACAATAACTCCATCTGAAAGACAGAGAGACAAAATGTCCCTGAACCTCAAACATTAAAGGAACATCACAACAGTGTCAATGGAGAGCCTGGACGACAGTTTGATCAAGAATTAACTTATTAAAACCTTTTATTGACAATGGCTCTTCCACTGCAGTGGTTCCCAACCAGGGGGTCAGGACCCCCACTAGAGGTCACCAAACCTTCACAGGTGGTTGTGTAGCCTTTTTAAATTTAATGGGTTTAAGAGAACCTAAAAAATATACACAGTAGGCCTGTATCTCACTAAAGGTATACAGCATAAACAAGAAGCTAATAGAACAATGGTCAAGCATCAGACATAAACCTGATCTTTCAAAGGATTTCTGGGTTCAATTTGAACTCACCAACTGGATCGACAAAGTCACAGTGGTCCACAAAGTCTCTCTTGGCCATGTAGACCGCCACCTGAAACACAGAGGGTTCAGGGTTCAGTGCCTTGCTCCAGGGTCCGTCAGTTGTGGGACAGTCTCTGCTGGACTTACCGACTTGTCTTTGGAGACCTTCTTAAAGACGACGTGTTTAGGACTCATGGTGACTGACTGATGTCCCGACCAGATCTTTAATAATTCACACTGGACTCTGTAATTAATCAATCAATCAATCAATCAAACTTAAATCATCTGATTGTTTGTTGTCAAACAACAATCGTATGTTCAACCAAGGACCTCATACATAGTTTTTAAGTGAATCCTACAGACGGAGGCTCACTTTATCTCACAGCTCTTTATTCTTTCGTTACAATGTATTGATATCATCATGTAACTCGTCATATTGTAATATGTAAAGCGCCCAATAGCAGTGCTGTAATTAAGGGCCAAGCCCCCTCACACAAAGTCCGACTGAGCTGAAAAAAGCTCAGTGTGGTCTACAGAAACCCTCTTGTCGGTCCGACTGCTAACAACTCTTCTGTGGATCAACGTTGGACGAAACTGATTAGTTTGCTAGTTGCAGTAAGCTTATTGATATCTTCTTTAGTTCTTGAGACATTGACTAATGAGCTTTAGAGGGGGCGTGGCTGAGAGCATAAACTGACATAAGCCAACAACCATTGGAGAGATCATCATAAAACTCACAGGATGTCCATATAAGGACCTGAAACATGTTCACATAGACCAGTAGGGGGCGTTGCACATGCACAAACTCTGACTAGTATGAATCACGTGCATGTGTTGAACCCTGAATGACTTCTTGTGGATTTATTTATTGATTCATGTTTGCCCTTGATCCTAATTTAAAGTAAGACTTTTCAGATGATATTAATTACACAAATAATGTTTTGAGAAGAAATAAGTTGACATTCTACTATGATGGCTGTTTCTCACATTTAATTCATTATTAAATATATTGGTATGGAACAAATACAGTCTGTTATTATCCAACAAACTGAAATTAAAGTTATTTTCAAGTCAAACTGATTTGTTTTACCAATTGGATCATTTTTAAAAATGCCAAACCTTGGAGATTATTAATCAAAGAGTAACGTATAGGCTGTCATAAATCAATAATAATAATAAAGCACTATTGTAACTAGGAGTTACTGCGTGTGCAACTAAAGATAATCAGATTCCAACAACTCTTTCAATCCATACATACATGAATGTGTGAGTACTGTTGCTTTGATATTGATCTGCCAGAGGAAACAAACAAACAAACAAACAGGGACTGACCTGAGAGCAGCAGTGATGTGTTGAGCAGCTTTCTGACAGCTGATCAGACTCAGAGCTGAATTTATAAGAGACGCACACACAGCGTGGTCAGCATGCTGATCATTATACGTAAGGGATAATGCCCGACGAGGTGTCCATCATCAGGAATTAATGGACGACGCGGAGGCCTTAGAACCGATATAGTAATATATAGTCCGCGTCGTCCATTAATTCCTGATGATGGACACCTCGTCGGGCATTATCCCGCTTTTATCACTGTCACTTGCCAAAGAAAAGAAATTAATTAATTAATTAATAAAATTAATTTTATATTTTTGAGTTTTACAATCAAAATATAAAGTTTT